CTGAAAGAATGAGTCGATCAGCTTAATCATGCGATGCTGTGCACTATGTAAGGAAAAAGGGTGGACACAAGAAATGGACAAAATAAAGAGAACTGTGCAAATATTGAATGCCAAGGTGACAAAAACCCAAACGGATAGAAAGGTCGCACCCGCGAGGAGAGAATAGCGAATGGCAGATGACTGAAGGACCAAGTCACCTCAGAATCCCTTCTCTCCAAGTCGCGGTGCCCCCCCTTTCCAGTCATTGCGTTCGTAGTAACGGAACACAAGATCATAACCGTTCAGGTCATGGACGATGCGGTCGACACGACGGTAGCCTTCGACGTGCTCCATCTTGTTGCTGCGGCGAAGAGCCTGGCGCTGAGCGTGCGCCACATCATGCTGCCCATTCGCCTCTTCGAGCTCATCCAACGCTGGCTTAGTCTCGAACAAGGTGATGCTGAAACGGCCAGGCTTGAAGATCGCAACAACCTGCTGGATGATGTCGGCAGTAGCCTTGCCGTTCTGAGAGTGCGGGACGTTGGTCTCGAAGGATGCGTACGAGCACTGAGGCTCCGGTGTCACATGCACGGTGAAGTAGTGGGTCGGCGCGTTGCCATCGGGAGCCGGCACAACGCCATTGGCAGAGAAGCCACATGGAGTGAAGAGGTACGCATCGATGCGAGCATCTGGGAACTTGCTCTTGGAGTACACGTCCGACAGGCCGCATGACTCGGAGACGACAGTGCCCAGAGCGTGACCCTCCGTGGTGAGCTCGGGCGGCAAGGTGCCACCAGTCTCCTCATCCATGTCGGAGGTGTTGCTGAAGACGTCGAGGTGATCAGTACCATCGTCTTTCTCCGAGTTGCGGTGGTGCTTCTCGGCCACAACAGTGGCATTTTCGAGGTAGAACTGCTTCGCGTTTTCCTCGTCAAGGTCGGTCATCAGAACCTCGAGGGTCTCATCGTGCTCATCACAGTCAGTGCGCGGATTGGCATCAGGGAAGTCAAGGACCTTGGTTTCGGTCTCGTTGAAGTTAACCTCCTCCTTAGGACTCGCTGGTGGGGTGAGCACGGTGCCAGGCTCGGTAAGGTAGAGATACCAATGTTCTCCATTCATCTTGCCGATCATGTAGGCGCTGCCGTTGACGAACAACCTGTCCATGGATCGTACTTCATCGCGCCAGCTGCGGTGAGGGCCACGCTGACGGTCAGGGAACAAGAAGTTCTTCCGGCTGTAGAAGACTCGGTAGGGAGCCGCAGCCACTGTGATACCCCGGGATGGAGGGGCCGTGGCGCGTGGGAACCCTGCGAACAAGGCAGCGATTTCCAAGATGCGGGGGAGTCCCGAAAGCAAGGTGGTAGTTCCGCACGTCTTGAGAATCAACTTGTGCGGCCAGACAAACATGCTAGACTCGGACAGAAGGTAGGCGTCCATCTCATCAGAGGAGATAACGGAAAGCACCTGGCAGTTGACCAGGTCCAACATATCCTTCCAGATTTCCCCAGGCACTTTCTTAAGGCCTTCGGGACCGGCGGCGCCTAGCTCGGCGGCAGAGGGCGCAAACCATACCTCGAGAAGCTTCTCAGGACCTTCGAAGGCGTTGGTCGAGTCGAGATCCTGAGTGGCCTCGTAGTTGATTGTCAGAGATGGCGTCCCCGCAAACGAGGATGGCGAGGTAGTGTAGTTCGTTGGAATACCGACGTAAACCATGATGACGGATGTAGCTTGAGCTGTTGTACTTGTGTGTGTTAAACGAAGTAGAAACAGTGACGTCGGACCGCCCTATGTACTTCGATGAAGATAGGCTGTAGAAGCACTGTCTACTTGCCCAGACGAACAAGGGGGCGATGCCCGTCTGAGAAGAGAAGGCCCTGAAACAAAAATTTAACTGGTCAGACCAGGCGAATATAATCTCCAAACAGACCGAAGGGCTGCTAAGGAGGTCGGAAGGCGAAGGACAAAAAGAAGATGCTAAGAGAAATGGTGACTAGCAGTCGGTACCCTCGTCCTGGAAGATACCGATACCCGTCAAAGTATCGGGTCTAGCAGACGAGAATTCTGCTTTGAAAAAAAAGGTATTGGAAAACGAAAGAGCTGGTGACGACGGGGGTCGTGTTATCGAGGCCTAGAGCAGTATGGTCGTTAGAAACAGGCTACAAGAGAAGATCGACACATGGAAATTCATTTTCTGTATTCGAGATCATGGCATTGACCATGATATCCCGGTCCAATGGCTTTGATTGCTTTTGGCAATCGGCGCCTCTCCAAAGACAAAAGGGGAATCACACTTACTTCGCGGGCTTGGACAAGAATCGCAGAAGGTCAGTTGGGCTCATGGAAGGCGAAGACAAGTTCGACTTAGATCAGCACGAGGTAGCGGAGGGCCACAGTCGTGAACATCGGCGGGGTTTGTCTGTAGGACAGTCTCACCCAGAAGCCCAATGGGTGCCCGAGATCAGGGATTGATTACTCGGCTATAAAGAACAAGTAATCTCTCGCTAAAGGATATTGGCGAAAGAGTTTTTGTTTTGGCCTTGGTGACCTCGAGTGGGAGGGGAAGTGCAAAATGTTTGCTGAAGACCAGTTCGGTTGGTAATTAGTGATTTTCTCTGTGGGCCCGCGATAGGGTGGGGCACGACGGATCAAAATCTGTCTGACATCAGGGAAGAGATTATGTTGGTTAATGTACCAATTGCAGGGAATATATTGGAGCCTTGTGATATGTTACATACAAATTGGGCAAGTTAAAAGCTGCAGTGATATGCAGACCGTCACAGACGATTTCAACCTGTTAGAGGGGAAATGGCGAAAAAAAAAAGAGCTAAACTGGGCGAGGCCCCAGCTCTCACATGAGCGGTGATGTCCGGCAGAATTAAACTTTGTCCCTGATGCTATTATATAAGCGTATCCTGACTCAGCACATAGCGGGGAGCCTCCAGATTTAAAGTACAACGTACGTCTCTCCTTACTATTTAGGGCTGCGAGCATGAATGTAACAAGTACATGGTAGGGATATCGAGATCAAGCCGTTGCCAACTGACAAACATGAGTGACCACAGAGTGCCACAAGATTATCAGTCAACTAGGTGAGCCGTCCAAGGTGAGCTCAGTTGTTCAATAAACAAAAAGCGAAGCCCTTGGTAACTAGAACGACAAAGAAAAGCCAAAATGAGTATCACAGAGGCAATCCACTACATAAACAGGATCAGGATATCAATGAATGGAGTTATTACCATATGAAACACAATGATCAATGGCTGTGTCATGTAATTAAAAAAAAAAACCTATCCAGAGCCTGAATATCTGAATATGTCTACCTAGGTATCCATAGTCCCTGAACCAACGCCCGAGATAACGCCATGTCGCATGAACAAATGGTTTCATCGCGATCTCATTTGCAAAAAGCACCCGAGAGATATCATGCATAAAACTGAGAAAGCCATTCATGCTTCCAAAATGATATGTGCTAACTGCACCTCACCAGCCTCCACAATCCTTGCCGCAATGATATCACCGACCTTGTCAACCAATCTAGAGCGGAGATCGTCTGTGACAGTATGGCCATTGGTCAAAAATGGTTGGCTACCACGCAGCGAGGCCAACACAGCCACAAGTGCATTCAGAACTCGGTCTGCAGCTGGCCGACGGGCAGCATCGTCCAAGCCATCGCTGAGAAGTTTGGTATATTCGTGCAGATTGGGAATGACGAGGACTCGGATTACTTCAGAGCCGCCGACAGATTGCAGTCCAATGACGGCACCATAGTGAGCACCGAATGGCTTTGAAGGGTCTAGGAAGGTCTTCAGACAGGAGCGCACGAGTCGAGGCTTGAGCATGTGCGACGAATGGGAGTACTTTTTGGCGATGAGGCTGAGGAGAGAAGCGGCCATATCCCGCAGAGCGAAGGACTCCACGACATCCGCAGTTCCACCAAGCTGTCGACCAATGAGGCAGGTAAGAATGGATGGTACGAGGGATGCGATCTGGTGCGGTTAGCGTCTAGAAATGTGCTTCCAAGGTGGGGGGGGGGGGGTCTACTCACGTAGGGGTCCACGTAAAGTGACTGGTTCTGGACCAGCGCCTCGGCCATGTGCATCACCTGATTAAGAACGAAAACATTCTTGAGACTGTGCGTGACCTTCTCGGCAATGAATTGGACAAAGTATGGCACTAGCTGGTGCAGACCTGGGTCCTCGCGAAGGCTGGAATACCCGGAGGTGCGATAATCCTCGCTTGTTTCGTGCAAAAAGGCACTGCAGACTTTTTCAAAGTAGAGCTGGAGTTCCCTCGAAAGCACATGCTTGACCAATGGCTTGACAGCCACATCGCCTGTGCCACTGATTGCCGCCAGTGTGGAGTTCGCATTCGGACCCTTCGAGACCAGTTCAAGGTTGCGGGAATCGGCTGCAGTTGGGTTTTGAGGGATTGAGGGTTGCACACCTTCGACAGCCAACCAGTGGGCTAGAATAGACGTTAGTAAATGGACAGCACATCCAAGTAGAGAAGGGTAGTATCCACTTACCAGTGAAGGAGACTTCGCGGGGAACTTTTGGCAGAGGTGCGTTGATCAACTTCTCAAAGTCAACCTCCTCATCTTCGACGTAGAACAGCGGCTGACCAGGTCCTAGAGAGGCTTCGCCGAACTTCAACGGACGGGTCGAGTCGTAGCCATACAATGGCTCCACGTCCAGGTTGCGCAAGGCCAGCGCGATGTCTTGGGTCGTAAGAACCGTGCGCTTACAGTGGCGCATACACTTCAGCGCTTCCTCAAGCACCTGCGCAACTCGATATTCGACATCCCGGGCGAGATTCTCGGTCACATCGTTATTGAGGTTGAGGATACCGACGGATTCGGCGACGTCGCGGATGTTATCGGGGTTCCAGACAGACATGGTGGAAGGGCGTAGTCTGGAATGAAGGTATGTGAGGGAAAGATCGGGATAAATTCAGGTTTAGATAGTTATTGCGCTATCGCGAAAAGTGAAGTGAAGTGCGAAGGACGAGGTGGCAGATGAGGTTTAGAAGGCGAGTCGCATTCTGAGGCCACCGCCAGCGGATCCACAGATTAGACAATAACAGCCCCTTTCTATTGAGTCGGTATTTCGTTTAAATGATGGATGAAACGCGGCAAGTCCCAATGAATAGAAGGAATAAAACAAGCACCGCCTAGAAGATGAAAGCTTGCCGATAAGAGTTGCGCGAGTGGTTCTACAGTCACCCGTATAAGCTGCCCTACCTGGGCACAGTCTACATCGAGATACTTTCGAATCTTGACTATGGTCACAAACCGATAATAATAAAATTAGATATGGCTAATAATTAGGTACTAACAATACAGTGCATCTTGAGAGAGCACACCAATCACCTGAAACCAGGTACACAAGAGCGGGGAGTGTTATTTACTGCTCCTCCGGGTATCATAACAGAAAGCACCAGCCAAATACCGATCTACTGGGCTCCATCCTTCGCAGGTTCTTCCTTCAAAGATTCAGCCTTGGGAACATCTGCTTTGGCGGGCTCCTTAGCAGTCTCCTCCTGGGCTGCCTCCACCTTAGGAGTTTCTTCCTTCGATGGCGCCTCCTCCTTGGGTTCCTTCACAGCCTCCGTCTTGGGGGGTTCTTCCTTCGCAACCGCCGTCTCCTTTACGGGCTCAGCAATAGTAGGCTGCTCGGGAGACTTGCCCTTGTCCTTGGTCTCCTGTTCCTTGTCCTCGACCAGTGGGATGAACCTAGCATTCTCCTTCAGCTCCGGGCCCTTGCCACCATAGACTTTAGGGATTTTTTCGGCAATCGAAGCAGAGAACTCCCGAGCCAGATTGGCGCCGTTCGTGATCGGGTGGAACTTGCGTGTGGTGTTCCGGCTGAGGATAAACTTCATGGCGGTGAACATCCAGCCCATGATAGCGGGAACGTTGACGAAGAACTTCTCACTCAGGAGCTCTGGGTATGCCGTAGCGAACACTTCGATGACCTTCTTTGTTGCGGCACGGACAGATGGATCCATACGGAAGAACTTTACATTCAGGTAATCGTGCACTTGGATCATTTGGTAGGGATCCTCGCCATCGTACTCAATGACCTCGGTGGCATCTGTCATCTTCAGGTCCTGCACAGCGAGCTCCATGAGAGCGGCGCGCCACTGGACGAATCTGCGGCCAGTTAGCATTGATTTCAATTGTAACGTAACATTTCATGCTGGGTACTCACTCATCTGTATCCGCGAATGTCGCACTGATATCCTTCACGGCTCCGTAGATGTTCCAGGTAAACACCAAGGGCCGTCCGTTCTCCTCATAGGTGGTCAGGTATCCCAAGCCTTCAAATTTGGCGGCGCTGTATTTTGCGGACTCTGCCAATGCTAGCGGGTTCACGTCCTTGCGCCACTGGAGCGCCTTGCTGAGCTGGGTCTCGGCGGCTTTGGCATTGCCTTCGTTTGCGCGCAGGAACTTGATCAACACGTTGACGGTGGGAATATCATCGCTGTCCTTGAGGGGCACTCCCCACATCTCAGTGTGACCAATGTTTCCGAGGATTGTTGGCAGGCGGTTGAACAACTCGCTCAACGCCGGGTTCTTGCTCAGGTAGGCTGGCTTCTCAACCTTGGGTTCTTCGGGCTTTGCCGCTTCGGACTCTGTAATGGCAGTGGTAGCGACAGTAGCCTCATTTGAAGCTACGCCCTCCTTGACTAGGTCACTGGCAGGTTCATCTTTGGCTGCAGTCTGTTCGGTGTTTTCGGCAGCAGTCACGGGAGTTTCCACGGGCTTATCGACTACTTCGACGGTTTCCTCGGGTTTCTCAGGAACAGCGGGCGCAACGGGCGCAACGGGCGCAACGGGCGCAACGGGCGTATTCTGATCAGCAGTGTCCGGCATGATCGATAGGATCAAAAGTGAGGGTGTGTTGAGGTTAGAGGAAATAGGGGGTTTTAAATTCACAAGGGGGGGGGGGGCAGTTGCCTTGTCAATAATCGGACCACTTATCAATCCCCCCCACCTGTCAGCCCTGGAGCTATATTTCGTTGTTTCATGATATATCACATCCACCTGCAATCTATTTTTATTTTTTTCTAAGGGGTTTCCTATCTTTTTGTTCTATATTTTTAAGCTGGAACGTGTGAATCTCAATGTTGTACTTGGTTTGGAAAGCAACCGTTACGTATGAGAGCTATAAATTGTTCTTAGCCCATCATTATGCACACCTCGCATGGCTTTCAATAATTTCAATAGCTTCAACCATCTCATAACTATTCATATATTTTTGAGTCAAGTACAGGGTAGACATATCACATTTGCGAAGTATTATCTACCCCTACTATACTAGGCCCCACACTTGTTATACTACATGGGTTTCTATCCAACTTCGTAGCATACCTCCTAGATCTATATTCAAGACGACGAAGAGTAGCTTAGAGTTATTTGTCACTTTAGTACTGTAAGTCCCAGCTCAGATTCCTTGTTAGCATCTACTGTAAATGGCTTGGTAGATTTCAAAATAACATTATCTACGCGATACATTCAAGTGGGATGCTCTGAGTTAACAGCTATCCAGCAAACTCTGAGCCTTTATAGGGAAAATATCGATATGTATGGAAGCTACTATCAAATTCTCCAGCGAAAGAGGGGATCATTGCGATTCTTCCAAAGTTGTATTCTACTTTCATGACGAACATTGGAAGTTCAATATAAGATTACCATTTTAGGACATTATCAACATCATAGGCCATTAACATCGAAGACACGATGAGGTGTGATGGAATACACTTGTACGGCTTATGCGAGCAAAAATATAACCAGGCCTCTCCACCAGATTTAATCATATACCAGCTCCTCCCAGGAACCGTCCAAGCAACACGTTAGGTGCACCATGAATCTTGTTATAATCGAGAAACCTGGGGAAGCATCTTTACGATATCCTCGGCCGACATACCACTAACCAATAAGTTGAACAAAATGTTTATTTTAGAAACACTTAAATCTTCCTTGGCTCCCTTCACCTCTCGAAATACCCAAAGAATCCACCTACATAAGGAGCATAAAGAGGACCTTTCAGCATGATTTCCAAGCAAAACAGGACTGGAAGTCTCGCGCGCTACCATTGCATAAGACCTACTTTCATTCACGCATTCAATAACTTCACTATGGACTTTCTTATGGATGGTTAGAAATATTGTACAAGAAATTAGGATTTTGTTCGGATTTTATAGTGTCTAGCACTTAGCGTCTTCCACTCTTTAATGAAATAACTTCACGTTGTAGTATATATCTTGACGTGTCTATAGACCCCTACTAACAAAATATATTCCTTTGGAATCATATTAAATTTGAACTAAATTCCTAAATAGAACTTGATAATGGTAACCGTACGGAGTCTCCGTACTCCGTACACAATGGAGCAAAACTCTATGCAGTCAGCTTCAGCCAAGCCACCTGTTCGGAAACGGACGCAGGCAGATGTGACCGAAACCTTCAGCTTGCATATTCGGAAGCACATTGGCCAAAGAGATGAAGGAATTGACAAAGTGCAGAGGCCAGCAATGTATGGGATACCCCGTAGACCCAATTATTGCGAGTTACACCTGTTCGCATGTTTCCGGCGGCTGTCTGATCCTATAAATGGGTTCTTATGCAGACTGAACGTGTTCGCTAAACAAGCTGAATCAATATTATTACCGTGTATTTTGTATTCTCTTGAATGCCTAGCAGTTAGAGTTCATCAGTCCCGAAGTCACTATCACACTCTTTCTTTTGACGAGTGGTTGAACCGAGGTTCAAGGCAGCGTTGATACTAGCCAGCAAGGAAATGACCACTATACACCATTAGAGTGGGAAGCCAGCCGGCGATATAAATAACTTACCAAGCACACACTGCAGCTCAAAATACCCCAATTTTTCAACCATAAATCCAGCCAAGATGGGTCCCACTAGTAGACCAGACATCCAACTCATATTTGTGATTGCAACAGCACGAGAATACCCGCCATAGGGACCGAATATGCCAGGATACAAGTCCTCCAACTCATCAACGGTTGCTGCAAAAAGAAACAAAAAACACAAACACGCGTCAGTACTCCAGCTCTCAGCAATAACATCTCAAACTTACCAGTTGCTTCCATCGTCCCAACCCCCATGAGCAAGCACGTAAAACACCCAATTATAGTGGTACAGACCCCGTAGATGATCTTCCCTCTATTTCCCAAAGTAGCCCACGGAAAGCGCTCATCGCCAGCGACACCAAGAAACCAAAGAAAAGGCGCAACAGAGATAAACCCAATGGTAGTGGGAACCCTCGAACCCACCCGATCTTTCAACAGCCCAACAAGAGGAGCCAAAATCATCCCGGGGCCCTGTATGGACGCGAACAAAAGGCCGACCGGGAAAACACCCCAACCAAAAGCGGACCGGGCATGCATCGCAATCGTAGACTCGAAACTGGCAATAAACAGGGCAAAGACAAAATAACAAGCAATACCCGCCGTAAAGCAACGTTGGCGGAAAAGGCAGACGTAAAAGCGCCAACCGCCGATTTCCTCGGTAGTTGATGACTGGTCTTCATCGAGAAGCGGTTCTGTTTCAGATGAAGGTATATGTTCTTCGGTGGATATAGATCCATTGCGACTGCGACAAGCGGTATCGCGACGTTTCTGCGGTTTTTCGATCATGAGTAGACGCATGATGATATCCACGACGAGAAATAGAGCCGCGCCAGCCCATGCTGTCCAATATCCTCCAATTCCGAAGAGGAATCCAGCAATGACAGGACCAGAGCATGTTCCAGCTGCTGTGAGGGTTGAGCTCAGACCTGCTATCTTGCCCATGTGTTCTGAGCCGATGTTCTCGGCCATTGTGGCCATGCTGACGATGTATAATGCGTTACTGACGATGCATTGGAAGAAGCGACCGACGAAGAGCCAGATTACTGCAAATGAGTTAGTACAATAGGAGGTAGTGCGATACACAGTATACAAAACAAAGACTCACGGGATGTAGTGATTGATAGACATAATACGCTGATCAGCGTCAGTACCAGCAACACTAGTAGTAGAACCTTCTTAGAGCTGGCTCGGTCAGCTATATCCCCGATAAATGGGCTGGAGATAATAGAAATCAATGCCCCTTCAACTAGAAATATGGAAGTCAATCGCTGAGTAAGGGATGTGTCTAGCCCTAGGCGGTTCTCGAAAATATGAGGGAGCAGTGGCACCATGAAGGCGAAGAGCATTTCATCTAGAGAAAGCAGTTCCCGTCATCAGCTAACATCCAATCTCTTCACTGTAATCACGAACCTGTGAATAATGCCATGGACATGCTGCTGAGAATAAATGTATCTGACGAGCGCCAGCGATATCCCCATGTTCGCCATAAGACCTGTTTCCTAGTATCCGGCAAAGGAAACATCTCGAAGGCCTGGTATATCAATTGTACGGCGGTTCTGGGTCAACCAACAAAAAAAAGTAAAAAAAAAAAAAATTTCAAAAAGTTGGAACGAGGGGAAGATGCATGCAAAATATATGTAAGATGGCCCATATTTGCTCCAAGCCAAACAACTAATGAGACACCAGTACGGAGTACTCCGTTGTTGTACTCCATAAACTGGCTGCAGATGCAATGTTATGATTGCTTTTCCCCCCTTTCGACCAATGTGAACTGCATTGGTGCCCAGTAGTTCTGGCGAATACCCATTGAATCCCAATTGTGATCTGGCCATTCTTAAATTACAAATCTTGGTTGGTATGTAGTATTATAAAGACCCTGGGAGTTGTCTAGTAACACGGGAAACATACTTATTTTTGCCTTTATCTGCGTAGGACAAGCCCAGGAGTGATCTTCAAATCTTCAGAGCTTATTTAGACCAAAAAAAGAGTTACGACGCGTTATATGTATATGAGGCTCGGTAAACAAATCATGTATCATTTCCCGTGAATTCAAGAGCCACAAGGGGGTAGACCACAGTCTAGAGCGAAGCGATCACCTGCTGAGTGGAAACCCAGACTAGGAAATGAGCAAGAATAAAAATCCCGGTAGAGGGGGATGGCACTGGGGGAATATACACGAAGAGAACATAGAATAGAAAACAGGAGAGACTGGTGCGACGGCAATCTGAAATCAACTAGGATCGCCGTAAGGGAAAGAACTAGACCCAAGGATACGAAAGCACAAAAGCACAAAAGCACAGGGAAATTCCATAAAAGGGGCCAGGAAGCCAGAATATCTCTATAGTGCGTTGTTGCGGAACCGCTCAGGCATTTGAGGCATAGAGGGCGGGTGACCATGCTCCGACTCGTCGGTATCTTCCATCTCCTCATCCAAATCCTCGGGATGGCTAGATATTAAAATTAGCTCATAAAACCAAAGTAGCAAAACTAGACCAGGATTAACATACGCAAGTAGCTCCTTGATATTCCTCATCTCATAATGCCTCTTACGCTGCTGCTCGAAATGAGCGTGCTTCGCGCGAGCCTCTTCAGTCGTCAAGAGCGGGTCATGCTCAGGCGCCTCGGCGCCATTTACATCCTCCACTCCGACATGAACATGTTTCTCGCTCTTGTGCGAGTCTGTGCTCATGCTTCGGTCACGGAAGACACGAGGGTCGTCCTTAGGGATGTCCTGCATGTTTTCCTCAGGTTCGCCGAGCTCCAGGTCAGGTATTTCATCCTCTGACACACCCTTCCGGTGCTGGGTGGGTTTCGCCGACTTGTCCAGCTCATCGACGACAATGCCCTGCGCATCGATTAAGCTTTCCTGTGCCTCGTCGAGCCGTATCTGCTCATCATCTTCGCTGGGGTCGTAGTGGGGCGCGTAAGGAGTCTTGGGTTCGTCGATCTTCATCTTCGCCGTCTTCTCCTGCTCGGCCAGGTACAGGTTTGCTTCGTCCCATTTTAAACGCGGCTCATTTTCGTCATAGGCGCTAGCTAACGACTGTCGGCGCGAGTTAGAGCCCCGGCGGGTGGTGGATGAGGATCGTCGACGGCCTGCGTTCTGTAGGGTGTTCTGGATGGTGATTTCCTTGGTCTCCTCGGGCTCGGGGATGGCTGGAACGGAGGGTGGGGAAATGGGTGCCATCGGAGCGGCGGCGCCTTGGAAAGAGTTGGAGTTCTTGAGGATACCTGTTTAGTTGATGAAAGAATTTACTTGGTCAGATCCCATCGTTGCTTTTGATCACTGTTTGGTGCTGATGTAGCTTGAACTCACCTTTTGGCCGATGGTGCACATCCTCGGAGCTGTGCGCCTTGGCCGGCATGTGTGGTGCGGTAGTCATGGTGGGATAGTAGTTGGGAAAGACCGGGTGTCGCCCGATTTGCAAGTGGACGATGTAATAAGAAGTCTGATTTCCAAAGGCGGGGAAATCAGGGAAATCAAGAGGGTGTGGCCTGTTTTATTTTGATTATATCACAGGCCTCAAAGTTTTGCTCAGCTGCAATCCGAGAAAATAAAAGAGGCTGAGCACCGGCTGATGTGGTTGGTACGGGGGAAAACGGATGAATCGAAATGACCCTGACTCAGACGGATAAGAGTCAGCTCACAAGCTTGGAATAGTCACGAGTTGAAGCAAAGAAAAGAATATAAGGTCAAGTGGTGGGGGTGCAAATCCACTCGATGACGTCGGCCCGATCATCTACCCGACGTGAAATCCAGCTTAGCTAACGTTTATCAGATTGATGGTAGGAGGTTGGACGTCATATTGTAAGGCTATCCAGGTGTCACCTACTTGAGGCCTATGCTAGTCTTGAAAACAACTTATAAACCTACCAGTGCGTAACGATTATGCCTTGATCTTCACAAGGAGCAATATATATTTAGTATAGAGAGATACGGATATTACTTTTATGGATAAGCAAGGAAATATAAGGAAATATAATATTAAACTAAGAGCAAGAGAGCAAAGCGCCCAGTCTTTCAATATATTCAAGAACGCCAGTCATGTTCCAGAGCCAAGCCCATACAGAAACCCGAGGCAAGAGTCCCAAAGTCCACGAATGCCTTAAAAAAACACCCAACTAGATCGCCCGAACGGGGGTATATGGATATATATGCAAGGACGTAATAATCATGATGTAGAAGATAGGAAAAGAAAAAGTGAAAGTGAACGTGAGAAAGAAAAAGGAAAAAGAAAAGATCGAGCCAGCGAGGAAAAGAATGAAAGAGACAACACACAACAAGACCAGAAACGTCTCCCTCAAGCAATGGAGTCAAACTCCTCACGCTCACGAAGTCTATTCCGAGCAAGAGTATCGCCACCACTGGCCGACAGCTGCATCCAGTGCAGCGCCAAACACATACTCTGCGGGTCTGACTTAGAGTCCTTGCCTCGTCGATACATCATCTCCGCCTTGAAAGTATCCCGCGGGAGGGTCAGAGGGAGTGTCACGCGCGGGAGAAGCTCCGGGTGAGTCAGATAAAGGATTGCAAGTTCGCGCTGTGCGACTGGGTTACCCTCTTTAGCAGTGATGATCCACATTCCCGCTGCATCTTGGATGGCATGGCCGGGGCGGGATTGGAAGTCTGAGGCGAAGGGGGGATGGCGACGGGAGAGCTCCTGGAAGACGATTCGGTCGGCGATCTCGACCATGCTGTGGCAGATCTCTTCTTTGAGGCTTAGTGCGGCCAGACCGAATTGGAGGAATGCTGTCCCGCGGTCCGTCTTGTTTAGCTGATCCCCTGGGACGAAGGCTGAGATAAACTGCAAATCCCTGAAAAGGGTCTTCGGCTTCACTTCTAGGATCAGATCGCGCAAGGTTGCTACAATTTGTGCTTCCGAAGGAGTGGAGTAGTCAGATCGTCGGGAGCCATATGTCACTGACTCGGGAGGAGAAGAAGACGGTAGCACTGGGTCCATCTGTGGTAGGTTGTTGGAACGAACCTCAGAGAAACTGTGGCGACTGGCCCGATGGAGTTGAGGACTGCTCCGTATCCTGTCACCTTCTCCCGGGGAAGAGCTGTGAGTAGTGGAGGAATTGGCATCTGGGGGCGAAATGAGCGACGCAACCACCAACGAACGCAGGTCCCGCAACGCGTTGAGCTTTACAAAGGGATTTCCATGACGCGAGAAGACTTCGATCAGCCGGTGGAAGACTGCCTTGTATGAAAAAGCTGACTGCCCGTTCGATTCCGAAAACGCTTGCGGTACCTCGACACGAGGGGCTTTGTGTTGAGCTTCGCGCAGGTTGTCCAGAGAACTGCTCCGGCGACCTTTCAATGAACCACGCTGCTGACCAAGATGTTTGGAACGTTCTTCATAATCTACGTAAAACTTCTGAACAGCAGCTCGTCGGCGCATTTCCACCTGAATGCGTTTCTGGTCCAGCGCATTGGTAAACCAGGCGTCGGTTTCACTACCACAACTCCATACTGGAGAGCCCAAATCGCTCAAAAGCAGACTAGTCAGTGTCTGTCTCAAACCATCCATGAACACCGCCTTCCCGTGTGTCTTGCGTTCAACACGACGGGGCTGACGGGTTGCGGTCTCACTGAACATAGATGGAGGTCGCGAGTACACGCTCGACGCGCTTGCGGCATACATAGGGTGCCGCTGGGGCGCAGACCAAAATGTACTATAGGTGTCACCGGTAGATGTCGAAGCGGCACGGCCAGGTGAACCTCCGATAGAGCACATGTCAATTGAAGGCAAGTCACGCTGAGGCTTCCATTTATCGGAGGTTATGCTTTGGATAGAGGGCTTGCGACCCAATGATGGGGTATCTTGAGAAAGACGAGACATAGGATCAGGCATAGGCATATTGGCACCATAGAAGTGGGCAGCAGAATTTGTGTCCTCGCTTGTGGTCGTCGAGGGCCGAGGAGTACTAGGCATGGACATTCCAGGGAATGTGCGAGAGCCATAACCCTCAAACTTTGAGCGCTCTGTCTGGAAAAGTTCACTTGCCCATAACACCGGCGTCTCGCTCATCGTTTCACCCACCAGTTTATTGATGCTCATTCGGACCTCGTAACAGAATCGATGAATTCTTTCTTCTCCCTTGCAGAAATTGTCGATTCCGTTGTGCGACAGCCATTTCTGAGTCAGCTCGACTTGCTCGTCAGACAGCTTATTCGGTCCACCTTGGCTACTGGGTGCTTTCATCATGTTCATAACTTGCACTTCGGGTTTCTGGAACAAGGAGCCACCCAAAGACCTTGCCCCGTAACGAGAACGCTGTTCTTCGGGAAATTGGTTGAAGAGTCGGGCTGAGTAGACCATCGTTTTCAAAGCCATAGCCACGTGTTTAGCCTCCTCATATCTAATAGAGTTCTTGACGTCGTTCATGTACCACATCTTGTCTCGGATCTTGCAAAATGTGACCGTCATGTCTTTGACTTGAGTTTGGAGTCGGCGGAGGGTGTGATCGAGAGACACAAATTCACTCTCGCACCGCTCAATGACACCTCGTGATTGAATCAGTGAACGAGTGTAATTCTCATGCATCGGGCCCAGGATCCACGAATCGTCCGTGGTCCTCGATGAGCTAGGCGTTCCTCGTTGTCCAAGCTGCTGTGAAGCATTCCACCAGTAGTGTGCGCCAACAAAATCAGATTCATGATGGCAGCAGAACATCGCTTCGTTGAACCGCTGCTTTAAGGTCATGGCAGCTGGCTGCGTGGTGTTCTGTGAAAGCAACCCATAATCATCACCCGTGTCTTGAATGCGGTTCTCTTTGATAAGTCGAATGATTGCTGTCTGTAATGCTTCATGATTTTCCTCCAGTCCTAGCGTCGTGGAGTTTGCGTCATCTTCACTTTCAATTATCGGGCCTTTGGACGTTTCATATCTACTATCAGGGAGGAGGCTCCAAGTTAAGCCATGACCGTCTGCTGCAACTGAGAAGATCGTCCAATGCTCGTCTGAGGGATGCTCTAAGCTCAACCGCTCATTAGGGTGATCTAAATCAGTTAGCTCAAATTGAATGCGAGCGGCCTTTTCAGACAGGCTATTTTCCGGTGCTAGGATAGGCTGAGTCTCCACTGAGAATATGGAACCATTATGTGACGTAGGTTTTGAACTTGTGTTGTGCTTGAAACGAGCGAATGCAGAATCCCCCAGTGAGTCTGGTCGAAGGTTTATAGATGGCGGCGGACTGGATGGCCAAGAATGAACACCAGCAGAGGCTGGCGAGGAATGCAAAGAAGAGGGTGTCTGTTGGAAAAGAGTGTCTAGGAGTGTGAGAACATCCAAGGCAGACATCATCAAGAAAGTTGAAGGAGCCTTTCGTCGACGAGGAAGTGGTGCCTGTAAAGAGGGAGTAGAAGGGTCAATCGATGCCTCCGGCGGCATCGTGTTATTGAACCGGGCGAGCATGTTTTCAACACGGCCCTTGATCATTGGACGGGGGATTGAGAAATGATGCCTTGAAGATATCAGCAAAGTGTCGAAAACCGCAGAGAGTTCAAGCTAGGATAACGTACATTGAACGCAAAACAGCAAATACTTGAGCGTAGGCACGGTGCCCAACTTGGTTCAGCAATTTCTCACGGGCATCCTTTCTGATATGGAAGTCTAAGAGAAGACCGTGGGTCTATTACAGCAAAAGCAGATTATAGTCAGCTTTGCGAGTTCACCAAGGGCTAGAGGCTCATATACCTCAGGATACGTCAATGCGCGATAGAGGAACTTTGAAAAGAACCACTGGAGGAATAAAAATTCCAAGAAGCGACTGCGGGTTTCGGGATTATCCAGCTTGCGCAAAACGGCCTTTGCGAACTGTAGCACGGCATGAGGAAAACCGCCATCTGGGTCATCAAGTACACGGAATAAGTCATCCACGGCAGAAGCAAAGAATTCCTCTGCAACATCCGTTCGCATGGGATCCAGGGAATCCATGGCAAAATCAAGTCCAGGGGGTGTGGCTATAGGCTCTAGGAGAAAAGCACCGGTTTGTAAAATGTCCATTAGGTAGAGTTCAAATTTGGGACGGGCTTTCCAAGTGCTGCCGGTGGTCCAAGAAGAAAGGATCTGGCCGATAAGAGGATAGTATCTACTACTTCCGCTAGAGATTAGTTGAGCGCAGACGGATGACCACACTTCCATACGCAAGCGGGATTCAGGTGTCTCTGGATCCAAAGGAGCGGCAAAAACGTTAAAAAGAAGTATAGATAGCGGGTCAGTTCTCTCAAAGGCATATGCATGGTCCTTGAAAGCCGTGGATTGGGATTGGCTCCTGTTTAAGAAAGATTGGACCCGAGCCCGGGATGTAGAAGGGAACGCGGGATCATTGGTATCCAAAGCAGTGGCAGGAGAAGTAAAAACAGCCAATTGGGCCGAAGACAGGCTTTGTAGCCGGTCGACCAAAAACTGGGGATCGGAACGGACCAGCCGCAAAATCTCCAAAAAGTCCGTCCGGGATTGAGGGCTCAGCTGATGAAGGAAATCCGGGAAACGGCCAATGTCAGTTCCCAAGGATGAGTCCCCGTCCACGGAATCTGTCTGGCCATCGCTGGAAGCAGGTGAAGAGCATGATTCCTGAAGGTCTTGGAGGGTATGGTAAAGAGCAACGAAACTGGCCTTGTCATCATGGCGGAGAGCTTCGACAAGACCTCGCTGTGCAGTCAGCCCGACACGAGCCATACGCGCAGAGATGCCGATAGACACCTTAGTGGCACGCAGGCGCTTCTCCAATCGCTTCCTTTGGGCCTGCTTGCGCTGGTTCTGGTGACAACGAGTGGCAAAATCCTCAAATGATATTTGGGGGACATCTTCCACTGGTACAGGGATAGAAGCCGTCGCGGGCCGGGGAGTGTGTCCGTTGGAAGGAGCGGCTTCTACCTTGGGACTGGCACGGGCCGAGCCACCCAACTCACCTGGCCCCACGTTCAACGGAGATTCAAGTGCGGACATGGCTGGCGAACTCGGAGGTGAAGGAGGTAAAGGCACAGATGCGGGATCTTGCGCCCGATGCGACAAGTCACATGGTGTAATAACCTTGGGGAAATCAGGTATTTGCTCGGCTGAAGCTGGTTAGATTGGGCTGCAATCATAACAAGGGGGTATAACGATAGGAGCACCCCTCTTTCAAAGTCCCAACCCCATATAAGGGAGAAAAGCGCAGAAAATAAATATAATGACGTACTGGTTGTAGAATGCAAAGAGGAATAATGATCCTCTTGGTGTTCTACCATCTTGCCATTAACAGACAGTCGCAAAACCCCCCCTAGCCGACGAATTCCTATCGCATTCTGAAACGAAACCCAGGTTCTCAGAGTGACGATGCACTCGATCGGATGAACTGTTGGCTTCCAGGATGAATGTGTGGGAAGAAAAAGGCGGGGGAAAAGAGAGGATAAAAATCAAAACAAGGAGGGGAGATGGGGGTTTAAAATCAAAGTAAAAATAACTAGTGAAACCCGGAGTATAAAACAAGGGTTTATAATAGAGAGAGAGAGAGCAAAAAGGAACCCTCGAAACGGACAGTTGCAGACTACAAAAGTGCTAAAAGCCAAGTAGAAGAGACTTGTAAGAAATACGCTAATAAGGTAAAAGGATCAGGTACCGAGTACAACGAGACGATGCGTTGGCAGTGCAGGAATGAGGTGTCCATGCGCCCCTCATGCGCCCCTCAGATTTTATAGACGTGTACATCTCTCTCTCTCTCTTACGTGTTCGACTATTTTACACATATGTACAACATAAGTATAGAATCTGATGGCCTATTAAATTACCACTTGAGTCTAAGATCTAAGGAAATACGATTACCATGTCATAGAGTGGCAACTTGCTCACATGCAAGGATGTTGTCCTGGCTTATATACATCTTACTACGAAACCAACATTTATTTCATGCAGTTAACCCGGGATACCCCGACTCTTAAAACCAAAAAGCAAATATGTTGGATCATGATGGGGTGAATCGTTCATAATGATATTACAAATGCTTAGGTACACCCAAACTCCGTTCATAGGTACTCGTGTAGGGAAATCCACCATACTATCACCGACAAACCCATTTCTTGTCAACTTCTTTTTGTCCGACACGAGCAGCTACCTGGTCAAGGGTGGCTTTGAGTGTATCCTTGGATACCTTGGGGAATCTAGATACGTCTGGATTAGCATATACTCTAACAAAACAAAAAAAAAAAAAAAAGAGGATATCGTGGGAACCAACCGTTTCTTCAAGATCTCGACCAACCCAATCTTACTGAGATCGCTGCCTTCAACTGCTTCCTTGAATTCAGCGAGTTGGTCTGGTGGGAATGGCCGTTTCGCTTTTGATGTGGGAGGTAAAGTATTGTTTGCCGCCACTGCTCTAGGAACTGTAGGAACAAGGAAGCCGTCTATGGCTGTCGCGGGTCGCGCCTTCGCAGGTACTGGATCCATAGGCTTGGGTTTCTCCCAGTATGCAGTCGAGAAGGGGTCGATGGGGAACTTGACCGCATCGGATATAGTCCGCATCTGGTAGACCTCCATTTCAGGCTCGACTCCATTCGTAGCCCACTTAATTCCAGTAGAGACAGGTTCGAGATCACCAACAATGAGACGACGTTTGCCTTCGGCAAGAGCATCGTCCTCGTCATCTAGGAAACCCTCGAGATCATCTTCGCCCTCATCACTGCCTTCGTCTTCTTCTTCAGAGTCCAGCTCTTCACCTTCTTCGGGTTCTTCCCATTCCGCCTCGGAATCATAATCATAATCGGTATCCGGCAGCCCCCGGAGATAGGGACTTCGCGCAAGTCTTCTCGTGGATGACTCGGACACGGGGCGGGTATAAGTTCCCTGATAGGGAGGGCGGATGTCCTCGCCAAATTTGAGAGACTTCATCGTAACCTTGCGAAGAAGTTCTTGTAGCCTCGAAGATTGTACTATGCTCTGGGTTTGAGGCTCAGCCGGATCATCGGACCTTTGTAACTGCAATAGTATGTCCTTGACAGAGCTCGTTGGCTGACGCCCACGACGGAAGGGGATTATTTGAAAGAGTTCCGATGGACGGAACGGATGTGTTTGGGCTGGGACTTCGTCATTGCGTAGACTTGCATCGATCGTTTCCCGTACGTGTTTGAGGGCCTCTGAGTCACGTTCAAACCGATGGGGAGGTGCCACGACTGTATGAGATTGCAGAAAGAAAGCAGGAAACTCTCGCTCATACTCTGATTGCACGACATGAGTTTCGTGAGAGCAATCGGTTGTGGCAGATGCCTTCTTAGGCGAAGGGGCGGTGATCACCTGTCCTGATGGAGCGGAAGGTACCGGTGGTTTGGCGAAGAAGGAGTTCAGTTTCATTTGTGACTGAATCATTAGTATATGGGCGTCTTCCTGTTAGGACGATTGTGGATGACACTTACTCGGGTCTTCTTCTCCTTCTCCTCGTCCTTTTTGCGCTTCTCTTCTTCTCTGGCGGCCTTTTCGTCCTCCTTTGCCTTTTTCTTTTCATCACGCTGCTTACGCTCCTCTTCACGTTGAGCATCCTTTTTCCGCTTTTCTTCCTCTCTGTGTCGTTTCTCCTCATCGCGCTCGGCATCGCGCTTCTTCTTTTCCTCCGCTTTTAGGCGCTTTTCTTCTTCCCTCCTAGCCTTCTCTTCCTCTTTCTTTAGCTTCTCCTCTTCCTTCTTCGCCCTCTCCTCAGCCTTCTGGCGCTCTTTGGCTTCTTTTTCTTGTTGCTTGGGATCTGTGCCAGCAGAGACTACCTTGCGTTTCTTAGAGGCCGGGGTATCAGGCTCAGGATTGGAAGCAGCATTGGTGCCTGGGGATGTTAATCCCCAGGCAACGGCTTCATTTTGTTTACGTGGTGTCCGTCTCATCACGATTTCGACCGAGGGGGGAGGTGGAAGATTACGCTTGATTTCAACTGGCGGGGAAGTAGTGTTGTCAGGTTGGGAGGAGAGAGACGGATCGCGATTTTCTTGGTTTTCGCCAGCGAACTCGGTCAACGGTCGCTTCGCATTTGGCGAGGGGGGTTTGGCATCATCAACCTCGTGAATTGAGCGCTTTCGGGAACCGGATGAAGGTGATGCAGGAAATGACGGGCCCGACTGCATCGGAGATAGAGATGTACTGGGTACCATTGACTGCAGAGTGGTTGGAAAGACCTGGTTAAGAGGTTGAAGTCTTAGGAGTGTAGGTGGTGAGGGAAGGGGGGAATGGGGACAGGTTGTCGTGTGATAGATCGCGACTTCAGTTCATGGGTGGTTCAGGTCGTGTCGTCCAAGGGAAAGCGCGACCCGGGGAGAGACAAACAACGGACGTCGGTCAAATTAGACAACTGATCGTCAATCACAGGGTATCGACTTCGCTGTTTTATGAACGTACGGAGTAGAGTAGTGACAGTTGGGCCAAGACTGGGACGCGTTAATCGTTTCGCGCCGCGACCGATAAGCACGTGTGTGATTATGTAACCACTATATGTGCTCTCTGCCCAACATTCCTGGACTATTCTGCGGTCCAGGTAGTATTTATGGCATCATTTTGGACATCCAAGATCAATACGTAGTGCCTTTGGTGCTTTGTACTTCAATATTTTCAACTTGTCCAAATCCCTTTGCTACTACTAGTGGTTCAACTACCTTGTACTGCTCCATGCAACGGCAACGAGCCTGCAACAAAATGCCATGTGGTACTACTTCCACGGAAGTTATCCTAAGTGCGAGACGAATTGAGATAATCTTTGGGGTGAAATTGCTATCTCTAAATTAGGACAAGCTAGGCCAGATAACCAACGCCAAGATGGCCCCGTATGCAGCCGCAGAAGGACGAAGACAAGCCAGAGAGCTAATCTATAGAAGCCAGCAGTGCCATCGAGGATATACAGCAAGAAATAAAGAAGCCTGAAGAAAAAAAAAAGAGATGCGGCGCTTTGAATAAAAAGGAGTAAATCAGACAGCAAACATGCAAAGATATAGACAAAGCAGGAGGACGCATTGGTCTAAACCATCAAGATTTGCCGAATGGGGCCAGGCGTGGAGTTGCAACGAGATAGGTATTATGTGCAATTGACGAGGCGTTAAGAGAAATCATGTAGAAATCATAAGAGAAAAGGAAGCGGGATATAAGAAGATCAAGGACGAAGAGTTGGTAGATGTTGGATGAGAACAGGGCCTCAGTCGCTGTCTGAATCGGGATTTGCGACGAAAAGTCGCACATTGGTCATGGTAGTAGTTCGCTCGTCCACACTGCCTCGTCGTCGCAACTCGGCTGCTTTGTGGGCTTTCTCAGCTGCCGCAGTGGCGGCGCTCGGAGCCTGCATGTCACCAACAAAGTCGTCTTGCTCTTGCTCGCTGCTGTGTGTTGTTGCGGTATCATCCTTGTGGAGAGATGACAGTCGGCTCTTTTCTTCCTCGTGAATTTCCGCGGGCGTATTTTCAGACACTTCTGGCAGATCGGTCTTCTCATTCGGGGGCGTGCTGTTGCTGCCCATCGTTCCCTGTGGCCGCGAGTATCCACTTGGGTAACGGTGTGCACTTCCCAGAGAGCTGCGGCCGCTACCAGTCCGTCTATGGATTGCGCCACCATCACTACTGAGGGTGTCATCATCTCCGTCGCCGACCTCGTTCGCACTCAATCGCACGGGAACCTTGGCGCCCACTAGATTTGAGGGCGAGAACTCAGCAGCCCCCTTAGGACCATGTCTGATCTTGCCACTAGCCAAGGTTCCTGCCCGGCCAGCACCTGAGCCATGAACTTCGAGGTACGCTCTCTTCTTGTCCCGTAGGGCTTGTTCGCGCGATCTGGCGTCTTCAGGCTGTGCCCGGTCACACCAGACGGTAGCCTTTTGACGCCGCATGAGGGCCACATATCCAAGCTGAGAGTTGGCAGAGCGAGACGAGGCGGTTCGCCGGATGTCAGAAACACCATGCCCCGCATGTACTGTCGGGTGGTTGCTGGTAGACGAGGTCGAGGTAGTGGTGCTAGACATGCGTCTAGAGGGTGGGTGAGGAGGAAGAGTCATCTGAGGAATAGGAGGTGGTGGAGGACCACCGTGGTAGTGCTGCGAGCCACTTGAGTAGGGCAACACATTGGAGGATGTGGTTCGAGTCCGACTGTGCGTGGTCTGGGGGCTCGCTAGATGGGGCGCAAGCTGGGGTTGTGGAGAATCGTAAGATTGATATCCGCCATACCCATGCTGGGTACCCGAGAGGGGCTTCCGGGAAGGAGGCCCTTGGTGGAGGGGCATTCGAAAGTCAGTCATGTTGGGCGGAATAGTGCACCGGCCTTGAAAATCCCAACGTGCGGGGCAGCTGTTCTAGGAGTTTGGTTTGCTCGGGAGTGCGCTGGAGGTTATTCTAGGATTTGAGATGCTGATTCGTGATGATGACTTGAAGGGCTTCGTTTCCGATGCGCGCGGCTGACGGATAGAGAGATAATGCGGCCTCAGCGCCCACTGCAGTATGCAGCCGCCACAATCCCCTTTGGGGGTCTCTTAAGCGAAAGGCTGAGAATGGAGGCCTCAAATATGTAGCGATACCAAGGTGTTGTAGTTGTGCAATGGGCTGATCCTCGAGCTGATCCTCGGGTTAGTTTTGAGGCGAGGGTGACGGGGTAGGAGCGCACACACGAAGTCCTGCAACTCAATCGGTAAGCAATCTCGGTGACTGCAGTGAAAGCGGGAAATTATAAAGAAGCACACAACAGTCCTGCAGTCTGCCAATAAATGTCGAATGTGGAGGAATTGTCGGGATGGGCAGGTCTTAAGGGGAGGCACAGATCGGGGGAAACCTTGAGGACTTTGACCGGCCGTTCCTTGGTAGAGTTAAGTGATTGGACGATACGGAACACGGCGGAGGAAGTACTTTCCCACACGATTTAGCGGGTGGAGTACTTGGCTCAGCCACACATGAGGCTGGGTAACCTATTCCGTACGGTATATTACATTTCAAGGTTCAGGTTTCAAAATGTTTCAAAATGTTGTCTCTCTCCAGCTCTCATTTTCAAAATGTCATCATTATTTATTTTATAGGCTTTTTCTCGTAGATCAATGCTACATTGACATGCCAATACAAATTCGCCTTTCACCGAGCACCTGAATGCTTGAAGGCACCATGGTCATATTCGCGGAATCCGTGGTTATTCGTTCTTACTGAGGATAACGGCTCTTCTGCGGAAATGTTTGATGTGATGGTACAAGCCGTGGACCCCCAGACTCCCCCAGCCTACGTACATCACCACCTAATAGGGGCTGCAGCCATCAACCGGCTCCACCATCCACCATCCAGCCGCCCGTTATCCCAATAATACACCAAGGTATGCTACCAACAATGTCCACAGTGCCTACATCTTCTCCCACGTTCTAGGGTCTGCAGTCAGGCAGGTCGTTGTTCCCGTCACAAGCGGCTTGTTTCCTAGGACTCTTGGGTTAAGCGAGAATTCGGAGATGGTGGCATAGTGACCAATGTCCGAGACTCCGAGCAACTTCAAGTTGGTGGTAATTTGATACCACTCCTGCGAGCCACTCCTGTGAGAAGTACATAATGCTGGTGCAGGTTGGCTCGAACTAGATGGCCCATTGCGACGACTGTCTTGTCGGATTCACTAACTGATAAGGAGATGCACCTGGCTCGACTCCTCCACATATCGTCCACAGCAGGTAGAGATGAGGAAATCCTTGCCAGCGTTCTAGAACTTCTAGTATCGTCGACCAGACCTGGCCCTTTTATGAGGGAATATCGATGTTCGAGAGCTCTTTGATAGGCAGAACGATCGTATGAGTGGGGACTGCCGCGTGTGCTATGTTGCTCAAACGCTTGCCTGGACATTTAATTACATATAGGCTACATACCTTCTGAAGATAACCTTCTGAAGATAAGGGCAGCATCTCTTATTATGCTTGTTGATCAAGCCTTTTACGTTCAAATATGTATGAACCATGTGATACGGACCGGGACTGATGACAGCGGGCTGATCATTGGACTCCATTGCACAATGCGGGGTATACCACCCTGCGAGGGAACGTTGGAAGAGGAAGAGAACTTTTATCATGTAAATGGAATTTGCCCTCAAAATAGCCGGGGGTAATATTCCCATTGGGAGTACTCGTCAGCCAATGATTCTGATTCTCGGACAGTATTGATGCATAATTGGATTAACCCTCGGAAGGACATACGGTGATGCTCCAACCCCCTCGGCTAAAAATGGTAAAAGTCCCTCCCCCCTTAAAGTGCTACGTCAATACATATTCCAACAAAACAACCACGGCCATAGTTCAATACACTAAATTTTCAATTGCACAAAACAACGGAGGCAGCTGCGCCACACAAGTGGGCTGTATTAGCTCATTGGTGGAGCTCGCACGCTGCAATAGGAAGAAGAATATAGTCGTGACGTCAAGATGTTTCAGCTTATCCGCGTTTTTACAAAGAGACAAAGGAAAAGTGCCTGTGCCTGATGAGACATTGACATTCAGAACGAGGCACAAGCCGAAGACGGAAATCATTGTGATGGTGGAAAAAAATAAACAAGTTGTGAGATACGACACTAGTATGAACTATGTATGAACTATTTTGTAGACAGAAAATCTACATCTGCATGTCACAAGTTGTAGTCCGAGACTAGCGGTATTAGCGGATGTGTCCAGCACATATCTGTTGCTTTCCAAGGTTTTTATTTGCAGATACATGATATGGCTCCATAATCTCACTCGGCGAAGTCCTAGTATCCTTATAAGTGTCTCAGCGCCACTATCCCCAAGCATAGAACCCCGGCGGCTCCACCTACACTAGTCTACTTTGGTCTGGGGTATAAGATCATACAATTAGGCGTGCTCGCTAAACCATGACGCATTCATGCCTAATTTGTTGTAGAGTAAAAACACCGATAGAAATATATGGAAGAACATTACTAGAAATAGATAATTGAATTGGCATATATCATTAGCATATCTCAATTCTACCACAAAGATAATGTATGCAGAGGAAATAGAAACTAGGTCCAGAGCGATGTGCGAAAAACAGGGTGTAAGGTTATAAAGAGAATCACACAAATCGCCATCAAGGTTGAAGATTTCTTCATTGCCTTACTGTGTTGGCTGGTTTTCTTCTGTTGGGGAGGTGTTCCCATCATCCGTGGCCTTGCCCCAAGCCTCTTCAAAGGCTGAGTCCGCCAAAGGCTCAGGCTCAGCCGTATTGAAGGCAGGTTCATCGGGCACGACACTGCATGGTTGTGGTTCAATGATCTCCTCCTTTAAATCAGCTTCAACTTCCTTCTCAACTATCACCTGGGAAAAAGATGATGAAGCAGTTTCATTATCGACCAGATCCGTCTCCCTGGTTGGTACGACGTTGTTCTTAGCACCAAGGAGCTCGAGGTCAAAGTTCGAGCTATAGACCACGGCAGAGAAGGCCTCAAGCTCACGCACGTTCTGGTCCATGGCGACCAGATACTCATTTGGTGGGTGGGCACCATTGCCAATCACGTGTGCCTGGCGAGTCATGACAGCCAGGAGGTTGGCAAGCTTTGTCTTACGCTCGGAGTTGGCAGCCAGGGGCACAACAGTGGCGATTGAATCAAAGGATTGCAGAGCAGTCTCCGGTGCGGAGGTGGGCGCCTTGAAGGCGTCAGCGGCACATCTTTGGTCGATAAGGGTTGAGAATCCCTCGTTGTTAAGAAGTGTAAGGACGAGGGAGAAAGAGGGAGAGTCAATCAAATCTGCTGTCTCATCCAGGAGGTGTCGTAGCTTCGACGCTGTCTGGGAAGAGGACGGGTCAGCTACGCCTTCCACGCCTGACTCGCGTAAGACATGTTCCTCTTCCTCTGCTGGGGGAAGCAAGCAAGAAAGCCATTTTTGAGACCGTCGCTCGTCCTCGGTGCTGCCTTCCACCTTCTTTCGGATTTGCAAGGTCAACTCAGAGAGCTTGGCCAAACTGATATCCTCACGTGGATTTAAAGGTCCAAATACTTCCTCGACGGCAGATTGCACCCTTCCCATCACGTCCTTCCACCCGCGGTGAAGCAGCCACCAACTGAAGGCGAGGTAACGTCGGTTGGTCTCGAAGTCATCGCCCAATGTTTGAGTGAGCTCATCATCGTGGTCTTCAAGACTGATTGTCGAGGCGTTGACAGGTGGGGTAGCAAGGGAGATCACGCTAGACAGGTAGTTCCGGCGGCCGAGTAGGTTAAGTTGGATGTGAGTGAAGACGGTGAGCAAGGAGAGAGTGTAGACCATAGTAAAAGACCGAGTGACAGCTAGAAAACATAAGTTTCTAACAGACGGGGTTCATTGTGGACGAAATAAAGACTCACAGGTAATCTTCACCTCATTCCATAACTGTGTCTTGTTCCGTTTGGGCCGAGGTTGTCCGTCCGAGTTCAGAGCAGAGTCCCCGATCTGACTTGCGTGCACATATCCCTCACTCTGGAAACTGGAGAGGCTCCTCCGATCATCGTCCGGCAGACTCGGGGCTACTGAGCTCAGATCTGACCCAGTTGCCTCGCCTGCATTCAATCGAGCCAACCTCTCCGCTCGCTTTTGCTGCAGCTCCTTGGTCAACTCCTCAACTGGGAGAGCATCGATAATATTCTCGGCGGCGGTCGGCAACAAGGCAAGGACAGTGTATGTGCAATCGGTTTGGTTTTGTTCGAATCGTCGGCGCAGACTATTGCCATGGGTCAGTGATTCCGGTTCGGGGTATTCTGGACGAGGTTGCACGCGCTACAAGCTCGTGTGCTTGCCAGTGGAGGGGTAGGAGTCATCGAAACAAGGGCAACTGACTTTTCGCGGGCAATCCGATCGCTGCTCATGCGCTCCCGTGCCTCGGAGATCTTGGATAACACATATTGTCCGGCCAAGTAGCCGGCTCCTATCACCCCAGCCCCGATTGCAAGACCTTTGCGATTGCGCTGGAACCAGCGCCTCGTCGCACCGATCATAATTGTGTTTGGTGCTTCTCTAGGAAAGAGTTAAAATGATAGGCAATTTCAAATCATGATAGATCCAGGAGATGGATGGTTCATTAGATGGGGAAGAGAGGCTTCGGGCGCTGATCGCCAGTTTCAGGCCTCGGCTAGAGCTCACCGTCATGCAAGAGCGAACCGAACCTATAAAGTACCCCATAGGATTAAAAGTACCTGCAATCATACTACATGCTCTAGACATTTGACTATGTACATATATATTCTCATCCCCCTAAATCATCAATTATTGCTTCACATTAGAGCTCTCCCCCGGTTTTGGAATGGCCATCCCGCAACAACCCGCTAATCCCTGTATGCCTCTTGCTCGTTCCTTTCCCTCTTGCTGCTCTTTTGTATACTCCGCATACTCCGTACACTCCGTACTTCTTCAACATAAGTGTTCTCTTTCAAACTGGTTTCCCCCAAGTTCGATGATAAGCGATAAGCTTCATTCGGCTACGTCCGATACAGGCCCGCCCCCCTTGCCATATTAGCTTTGGAGTCATCACTCCACCTTACATCCCTTCAGCTCTATGCAACAACTTGCTTACTGACTGTTCCTCTATTCTGTATTTACGACAATACTTCCCCCTTCTACCAACAAAAGCCGTCTGAGTTTGCACCCAACCCCAACCGGCTTGGTTGCGAGCTGCGTCATGGCGGGGATGGAGCCCCGCAAAACCCCTCCGGAGTACTTCCTGGAGATCTTCGCCGACACCACCCATGTGCGAGATGTACTGAAGGGTTAGTCGTGAGCTGGAGACATCATAAGTGTGTTTTTTTACTAAATTATTTTTCCTGCCAGGTGTCCTCAACCTCATCTTCTTCCACCGTTACTTCCCTTCTATCCGGCCGGTCACCTTTGACGTGCTCGATTTTACCCTCCCCGCTATAAACGATGCAGATTTAGAGACGCTAATTGAATCGCGCGTATCGGCTCTAGTCCGGCAGCACCTATCCTCCGCGGACGGGGGGCAGGATGGCCAAATTGTCGGAGGGGGCGGGGGCGTGCGAGGGCGGATCGCAGTCGAGTTCTACGAGAAGAAACGGCGTCGCTCGGGGCACTGGTTTGGCGGATTAACAGGGAAAGGCGAGGAAGAGGTGTGCTGGGAGATTTGGACACTTGATGTGACGATCGCAACACCGCGCACTGAGTCCGGTATGTACCGTCTGCGGGTCCCTTTATCCAGAGCTAACGTGGGTACAGAACGAGCCAAGGTGCGCAAGGCAATGGGAAATATGCTGCAAAAGGCAGCTTTGAAAATTTTGAGCGTGGTCAATCGAGATAAAGACCATATCCCACCCATCACCACTAGCGATTCCAACCCATTCCCCTATCGGATTGTCGTCAACCCTCGCGCGGACGGCTGGGGTAATCGCATGGGGCTCTACTGAGCTATGCGGTTTGATTAAGAGCTTGGACGATACTCGAAATCGTCAAGTCTGATACGTTCCCACTCCGATTATTGTTCAACCAACCGGACACGTTGCTTTTATATCCTTCAATGGAACATGGCCATGGGCGATCGACCCCGATACGATTTACGAAGACTGTCAGATATTATAAAAAGGGCTATTACTATGAGCCTACGAAACCTTCATGTGCTGTTCTTGAACTTTCAAGCGATGGCTATACGGAGTTCAGTACTTAGGTGTTTATTTATTTATTTTTATTTTTGGGGGATTCTTGAAGGGGCTGGGCTGGTTCTTCATACAATGTGGCGTAAGTACATATGGAACTGCTTTCTTACTCAATTAAGAAAATCAATATGAATATCCTATTCCGGGTCATCTGTTGAGCCCTAACGTGACAGCATAGACTAGAGAGGTGTATGATTTCGGTGTACAACGTCTCTCCAACCAGGCCATCGCGGAATTTGTCATTAAGCGCTCCACAAAACACATTCTATGGGAGCTACACCCTGCATGAAAGCCTGCAAGTTGTAAGCAGAATGGTACCACTGGGCCAATAACATTCCACCTGATCCCCCAACACCCAATATTTAGCCGGAGATACAAACTGCTCCTCCATGGAGTATACCAACACCCCAATGCAGGACCAAAGAAGCATCACATTGCTCCAAGCAGAGGCCGACAATGACGACGAAAGTTATTTCCGACTTCTGATCAACGGGTCAGTAAGGTATATCACTATTGCCCAAGGTATCTGGAGCACAGATGATATGTGCTTCGGTCCATCTCTAGCCACGATTCTCCCAGACCTTCCTACAGGCGATTGGAACAATGGTCTAGTCAATAAACACCCAGAAACCGGCGAGCCATACTTTGCACGCGCTACTCGGACTTCGTTTCCAGGAGTTGAGAATACATGGCATAATACCTTTGTTGATTATATGGATCTCGGAGAGATCAGGAGACTTCGAACGGGTGTCTACGAAGTCAAATGTCCCCAATTTGAGGAACTTGTAGTTGTCAAGTTTGCTCGCTTTGATTGGGAAATCGGATATATGGAGGGCGAGACTGCTGGCTACCAGTCGATTGAGGGTTGTGAGATTGGTCCTAGATTTCTGGGACATCTTACTGAAGATGGTCGTGTTATTGGCTTCTTGATGGAGCGTATCGCCAATGCACGACATGCTGGGCCTCAGGATCTTGATATTTGCCAGGGGACTCTCGCTCGGTTACATGCTTTGGGGATTAAACATGGTGATGTGAATCGGTTCAACTTCCTGATTCGGGATTCAAGAGCTATCTTGATTGATTTTGACACGGCCCGGAAGTGTGATGATTCTAACTTGCTTGCTGAAGAGCTCCGCAGCTTACAAGAAGCGCTGGAGTCTTCTTCGACGAAGGGCGGTGGGGGGTATCTCTGTTAGCACTGATTAGCTGTCATTGTTGGAACGGAAGGATGTTGGTCGATGTTGGTTTACTTGTCGAGGTCCACTCATGTGCGTTTAGCTTTAAACCTGGAGTAAGCTGTTGAAGGTGGTCGATTTGTACGCCTGAGTGTCAGACGAATCTTGAAGAATAGTTGTAAGACACATATTGAGAAGAACTATCTTGTTGATCGGATTAATGAGATGTGTGAAATTATCAGAAGTACTTACGAGGATGAATATGAAATAACATGGGCTGCTGTCTGAACCTATAGCTTGGCCCAAGCTTCCTTGTGCAACATACACGGGGATGCAGCTCGATGGCGCATAGCGCAGCACCCTAATAAGATACATTTAGATGGCATAGATCTCTAACACGAAAAAAAAAAAAATAATAACTGCGTCCCCATTGACAATGTACGAACTAAGCAACTAAACCACTGGAGTGTGACAAAATGGCAAGAACCAAGACAAAACATTCTCATATTCAGCGAATATCCAACCACGGACCCGTTGCAACATTTCTCGGGTCCTCTCTATTTCATATTCCAGCTATTGAACTGCTCCTATTTAATCATAGCAACGAAGCTTTGAGCCAACCACTTCACTTCGTGCTTGGTGCCCCATTGGGCACAGAGAATCGGATCCGTGACCCGCGCCAAAGCAGGTTCCACAGAGCTTTTATTGTCGATGCGATTCTCAGCTAAGAGGTAAAACTACACCCCTTTAGGTGGAGTGGGGCTTGCTCGCAGCCTCGGCCTGGGCGCGGAGGTTGGAGGAGGTACCGCTGGTGGAGAAGAAACGGCCAACCACGGGCTGGAGGAAGGAGTGGAAGACAACTTGGGCACCGCTGTGAAAGAGGTCAGCTACTGGTCTAAGCTTGGTCATGGGATAGGGTCATACCTAGTTTGGGGAAGAGCCATCCACATGATCAGGACGAACTTGAAGATGTAGTAGAAGGCTGCGATCAGTTAGCAAAATAGTACAGATATTGGCATCTTGTGGGCACATACGGAACCAGTAAGCGGCGCTGATGGCACTCTCAATGACAGTCAGGAAAGCGAAGACAACCCAGTACTATCAAGTCAGATGTTAGAATCACTGGTCTTTTGCGAGCGGGAAAGATGTCACGTGGATAGTCTATGATAACCCCGAATCGGTGGTGATTCCATACTTCCGCACGATTGCGTCAACAAGGTGATAGAATCATATGAACATACCGTGAGCCACTGTGAGAGTGAAGAAAGACATGGTTAGCGATTTGCGCATGGAAAAGAAAAAAAAGTTTACAAAAATGTCTTACCTGGGTGTCATCCTGGGTGCTTGAGGTGAAAAGCGCCTGAAGGGAGTAGTAACCGGGGATGAGGAAACCGGCAAAGTTGACGAGGAACTCGCCAGCAATGTTAAAGAAGACAAGGAAGAAGTAGATTCCGACAAGGCCAAGGATGACATAGACCTTGGGGACATTGGTCTGACGCTCAAGGTTGGCGAGGACAGGGTACTTGGAGAGCTACACAATGAGAGATGTCAGCTCAAAATCACAACGATAGAAAACACCTTGAAGTGGTTGTCAAAGGATGCGATTGCAGTCACTCCTACTGTGGTCGCTGGCGCTTAGGATCATTGTAGCCACCAGGCGAGGGCTAGACCCGAAGCGCCAGCGAAACACACAACAATAGCTGGAAACGTACCTCCTTGTCAAGCTGAGCAATAGAGTGCTGAGCACGCTCCTGGAAAGAGGCCATTTTTGTTTATAAAGGGTATCGTTTGTGGGAAAACAGGTCAAAGAGCTATTAGGATGACAATGGAGCGAGGGATGGTGAGGATGCAACCGGTAAAGCTGGCGGCAAGAAGACAGAGGCTAGCCTGTGTGTATCACGTGATGTAGATGACGTATCCGTCCATTTTGCCATGTGAAGCTGCACAACGTAGATTGTTATTGGTTAGAATATATGTGTATCTCACTAGTGACTATTTATCTGAAGATCTAGCCCTAGTGCAGATATGGTCACCTATATCTTTAAACCTAACTACTGTCTGCTGGAGTAACCTAGTTAGTTAGTTAACTGAGGGGTTGAGGCAAACATGTTGGCCTTAACTAAAATGTAGCGAGTTTTAAGCTTCAATAGTACTAGCTTTGAAGGGTTAATGTACTTTGAAACACATCAAATGTTGTATTTGATGATGAATATACTATGGATGTATCAGAGTCGACTGAGTCCTCTCCACAAATTTCCCGAGATAGTCATATCTAGGTACATCCTACACATGACGTACGCGGCTTTCCCTGAATTTATCGTGCTTTATTCGAGATAAACACATTTGTACCTAGCCTGTCTGTGTGTTTATGTTTCCAATATTTTATTTTTTATTTTTTTTTACTTCCATCATGAAACCGGGGAGTGTTCCTTTGTGGGCCTCCCCCCTGCAGCAGTTGGTCCGTTCGGATCTATGTGATGCATCCTTGTCCTTGTCCCCAGGTCCAATAAACATTGATCATTAGGAACATGCCTCTATTCCACTATCTCTCATACATGAGGTATCAAGTTGAAATAAAAAGTGACAGATGCTGAGTACTATCTTCAAACACAAGTGACCTCATGATTCTGTTTCAACGCTTGGATACCATCCACATGATAGTCACGTGATCCATCTTCACAGGGATGGGAGTTGAAACCGGCATAGAAAAGATTAAAAAGACAAAACGACCCCAAAAACGACCCCAAAAAAAAAAAAGAAAGGATCAAACATTGCCGAGAAGGCATACACTTACAGTTAGTGCCTGACCGCCAGAGACGATCTCGGCATATGATGTGATTGGGTCGATGGGCTAAAAATGACAGAGAGGGCAATTAGCCTAACTCCCGTTATCAGACGTTTCTCCCCTATCGAAAAAAAAATTCATGCAGAAACGCCTAAATCTCTTTTGCTTTCATATATATTGATACTCTTCAGTGGATCCAATCCCTCGAATCCCTCGAATCTCCCCCCGTGCACGAAAAGGCGGGCCATGTAACCGCACCCGCGTACCACCCTTCCAAGCTCTTCCATCCCCGAGCTACACAATACAATTGAAGCATTTAACGTGGCTTATGTGCCAATTCATCACAGTCAACTTGTTCTAAGATTTGAGATCGTCATATATACCACGTGGGATCCACACTACAGCCCGGCCTTCGGTCCTAGAGAGCTATTTCGATTTCCATTCCGAATCACTAAATAATATCGATACACACTTTTCTCAATGCGGCCGCAGTGAGTTTATGAATACTCCCTGAGTACTACCAGATCCAATTCTAATTGTTTGTTTGCACCCCCGTTTAGACGCGAATACCATATTGTTGTTTTGGGTGCTGGTAGGAGCCTCTACTCCTGAGATCTTCCCATAGGTCACACGCTGACCACAGGCATTCCCATGCGTCGCGATAACAGGAGGTGTTGGAAAAAGTTGCTTAACAGGTTCGTTTCCTATATTCCTCGCTCTGCCCTGAGTCCTCAAGCTGATCAACAATCATCTTCCAGCCCAATTCGTTCAAAATGTCTGGATCGAAAGCTACGACCCCACGATCGAGGATTCATACCGGAAACAGATTGAGGTAGACGTAAGTGGTCTACCATGCGCTGGAAATTGCCCTCGCTAACCAAGCTTCACAGGGTCGACAATGTATACTGGAGATGTGAGTAACTCGGTGGTTTGGAATATGGCATGATGCTAAATTTTCGGAAGTCTTGACACCGCAGGAACAGAACAGTTCAGTAAGTCTCCCCCCAAATCAACTACCCATGTGAGATCTAAGCTAACAACCCTCAAGCGGCAATGAGGTATATCTAGCTATCCACCCAGCACCACAATTGATTCCGTAGACCGAACCCGAGAAAAGCACACCGTACTAACAACACTACCCACAGAGAGCTCTACATGAAACAAGGCCAGGGCTTCCTCCTCGTCTTCTCTATCACCAGCATGTCCTCCCTCAACGAACTCTCCGAGCTCCGCGAACAAATCATTCGAATCAAAGACGACGAAAACGTCCCAATCGTGATCGTGGGTAACAAATCCGACCTGGAAGAAGACCGCGCCGTACCACGCGCCCGCGCCTTCGGCCTATCCCAGAAATGGGGCAACGCCCCATACTACGAGACCTCTGCTCGTCGCCGCGCAAACGTTAACGAAGTCTTCGTCGATCTGTGTCGCCAAATCATCCGCAAAGACTCCGAGGGGTCAAGGAGCAGCAACGATCCCAACCGCAAGCGCGAGGGCCCCAACCGTCATGACCGCAAGAGAGAGAATCGTCGGCCGAGAAATCGCCGTGGACCGTGTATCATCCTTTGATTTCAACAATTCGAGGGGTCCCTTTGACTAGAGACCCTTGTCTTGTTTCATTTTCATGCGATACGACCCTCTGCGACATATGCCGCACCCAACGCTGCTATGCATCTTGACATGTCATGTATGACTGATGTTCTTTCTATATGTCTATGCCTCTCGCCTCTTCCCCCTCCCCACCACCTATAGAGCCCTGCTTCGCTGCTACAGATTTGAATCTTTTCTTTTCTTTTGGGCTGTACACAGTTGGTGTCGTCCTCTTTTTTTTTATTTTTTATTTGACATATTTGAGGTTTGGTTGATCTGGACTCTAAAAAGACTACTTTCACGAGATGGAGGAAAAAGTGCTTTCTTTTCTTTTGGTCCTGTTGCTATTATCCTTTGGTTGAGAGGCTCGCGCTAGACCTCTTGAATGTTAGGCATATAGTTGAACCCTATGCCATTATCATAGTGAAAATATAGTACCGGATATCATGGACAATCTGAACCTTTTTCTGCGATGAGCTCCTCAGACCGCGTGCAGTTCTAATGGCCTACTAGACTAAAAAACGATACTCTGCAGAGGTCCGTAGGCTACGCTACATATTTCCATTTCACTATTCCAAAATGTCATATCGAGTCAATAGCACATGAACATACGTCTTTCGTTTTATATTTTCTCGGATTATCCTGG